GACGGACGACGGGCGACGGCAGATATGGAATTCCATACCCAATAGACCTTTTCACTAATAAATTCATAATTATACACACATGCGCACAAAGGCCCCTAAGCGGCAAGAAGTGTGAGCGGGCCATTGAAAATATACAGGGGTGCGACTTCGATGACCATTTTCTCTCAGGTTTTCTGACTTTGTTCATTTTTCTTCTCCAGAAAATCCAATTAAATTGTTTTTGCTATTAGTTTCTCATTTAAGTGGAATTTTTAGTGCTCTGTAAAAAGACTTTATAATCGTAATTTTTCCTGTGCGCACGAGATTGCCGTTTCATAGTATGGCCCCTTTCCATCATAAGTAGCATAAATTATATTGTTAGTGTTCCTGCAGCCAACCTGTACATTTGCAAAAACACGTACCGATGTTCAATGTACATGTATACTGTACATACATGTACATAGTTTACCTTTGAACTTGGTCATAGGTTGGAGTACATATACTACTGAAAGAAACGATATCCAGTTATTCGTGTTTGGGGTGTACAAAACAAAGTGCAGATTGCAAAGAAAAAGAGATGAGGTTGTTCAGACTTCTCAAGTGCAGAAAGCTGCGAATCGAATGGGTACCATACTGGTACATGTACGTGTACATTGAATATCAGTGCGTGTTTTTACAAATGCAGAAGAGAGTATACGTGGTGACTGAGTACGCTCATACCCCAAAATTTCGAATTCAAAAGAATTTTTTTTGTTGTATTTTTTTTTACACGCTCTGTATAGCCGACACATTGCCCGTGCCAAAACATTGCCATTGGCGCCCCCCCCCCCCAAAAAATTAAACAACGCTACACTGACAGAAAGTGATAACCTTGCCGTCACAGGTCGTGTACATGTACATGTACATGAACAATGTAGCCCATGACTGTGCAAGGCCCCTCCCAGCGCCGGGCCCTGTTCTGGCGCTGGGCGACGATCGAATTTGAACCCACCACGCGGCTCTGCCGTGGATCTGCCCTAGCGCCTCCACTGGTCGTCTGGCACCGACGCTACAGTACTAGGGCTTTATTCGTCTCGCCGCTGCGACGTGTTTGTGTTGATGCATTGTCATTGGCCTGACAAGAACTGAAATATTCAGCACCAAAATTGTCAGGGCTTGTTGTACACGTTGAACCGCTATTAGCTACTGGTCCCTATATGATAGTGATGGGGACCAGTCCACGACGCAACTTATTTTATCTTACTGCCGACAATTTTATCGCGCAGTTACGTTTCATTGCACGTTTATTTCGAGAAGAATTTCGATATTTTCGAATTCACCCATACTGCCGTTTGTATTTGCATACAGTGTTGTATTCGAGTCCATCACAAGTCCCAGCTGCAAGTCCCTTTAAACCCATCAAAAGTCGATCACAAGTCATTCAATCTTAAAGCTATTCAAACGAACTGTTCATCCTAGCTACTTATAGCTGGCCCTGTTAAGGGACTTGTGNTGACGTGGGAGTACTTGATGATGGCAGACTTGTCATATTCTCCTTTCCTGCCATAGGCTCTGTGTTCATTGAGTCTGATAGAGAGGTCCCTGCAGACGGTCTCGCCGATGTACAATTTGCCACATGCATTGGCAGAGGATCTTGTACACTCCTGGCTTGTGTCGTGGGTTGTTTTGGTCCATGTGGGAAGTCAGTAGGTTCTGCATTTTCGAGGGGGGGGGGTTGTATGGAACACTCGAATGCAATATGCTTGTGGAGGATGCGCTGGATGTGATGGGAGGTACTGCCTAGGTAGGGGAGGGTAATGGAACTAAAACGGACCATAACTAGTTGGCTTTGGTTATAGAAGACCCTTCAGCCAGGGGTGGATCTTGGGTCTCGACTTAATCCATTCCGCTGTAGTGCCGTGGAGATATGATGGAGTTCTTGGGTGAGACGTTCCTTGTCGCAGTTGACGTTGACGTTGATCTCCGGTAATTCACTGCTGCGTGCACCTCAGCCATTATTCTTTCCAAATTTAGCCTATCCATTCCAAGTGCAGAATTCAGTGTTTCTTCGAAATCTGACGATTGAAGCACAAAAAGTGTGAGCGGGCCATTGAAAATATACAGGGGGCGACTTCGATGATCATTTTCTCTCAGGTTTACTGACTTCGTTCATTTTTCTTCTCCAGAAATCCCATTAAATTGTTTTTGCTATTAGTTTCTCATTTAAGTGAAATTTTTAGTGCTCAGTAAAAAGACTTTATAATCGTAATTTTTCCTGTGCGCACGAAATTGCCGTTTCATATTATGGCCTCTTTCCATCATAAGTAGCATAAATTACGGTTAGTGTTCCTGCAGCCAACCTGTACATTTGCAAAAACACGTACCGATGTTCAGTGTACATGTATACTGTACATACATGTACATATTTTACCTTTGAACTTGGTCACAGGTTGGAGTACATATACTACTGAAAGAAACGATATCCAGTTGTTCGTGTTTGGGGCGTACAAAACAAAGTGCAGATTGCAAAGAAAAAGGGATGAGGTTGTTCAGACTTCTCAAGTGCAGAAAGCTGCGAATCGAATGGGTACCATACTGGTACATGTACGTGTACATTGAATATCAGTACATGTTTTTACAAATGCAGAAGAGAGTATACGTGGTGACCGAGTACGCTCATACCCCAAAATTTCAAATTCAAAAGAATTTTTTTTTTTACACGCTCTGTATAGCCGACACATTGCCCGTGCCAAAGCATCGCCATTGGCGCCCCCCCAAAAAAAAATTAAACAACGCTGCACTAACAGAAAGTGATAACCTTGCCGTCACAGGTCGTGTACATGTACATGAACAATGTAGCCCATCACTGTGCAAGGCCCCTCCCAGCGCCGGGCCTTGTTCTGGCGCTGGGCGACGATCGAATTCGAACCCACCATGCGGCTCTGCCGTGGATCTGCCCTAGCGCCTCCACTGGTCGTCCGGCACCGACGCTACAGTACTAGGGCTTTATTCGTCTCGCCGCTGCAAGGTATTTGTGTTGATGCATTGTCATTGGCCTGACAAGAACTGAAATATTCAGCACCAAAATTGTCAGGGCTTGTTGTACACGTTAAACCGCTATTAGCTACTGGTCCGTATATGATAGTGATGGGGACCAGTCCACGACGCAACTTATTTTATCTTACTGCCGACAATTTTATCGCGCAGTTACGTTTCATTGCACGTTTATTTCGAGAAGAATTTCGATATTTTCGAATTCACCCATACTGCCATTTGTATTTACATACAGTGTTGTATTCGAGTCCATCACAAGTCCCAGCTGCAAGTCCCTTTAAACCCATCAAAAGTCGATCACAAGTCATTCAATCTTAAAGCTATTCAAACGAACTGTGACAAAAGCATTCCTTTGTCATTGTTCATCCTAGCTACTTATAACTGGACTTATGAAAGACTTGTGATGGACTCAAATACAACATTCTTTACGTTTCGTGTGTAGTTAGGCCCCTATATTTGTCGTTTCTCTTCATACTTTTCTCATTCTTATTTGACTGTTGTATTTATACACTTCGTTTGTATTTACTTATATATTTTTCGTCCATGATTATATTTTTCGTTTTATGATATTTTGTATGCATATATATATTTCTTGGTTTTATTTATGACTTTGGTCTTTTTTGTCCCAATGGCCGTCCGTAGCTGAGTGTAGAAGTTGAAGTTGCAATTTTTATGTTAACGGTTTTGGTAATCCACGGTTTATAGTACCGTAGTCGAAAGTGAACGGTCACCGAAGGACGCTGGCAATTGGTCAATAAACGTCGCGTGAATTACCGGAACTTTGAATTTTACATTTAACAATTGTTGCCAGTAGTGTAGGGGTCCATGGTGTTTTGTACACCCAAGGGGGGGGGGCAATTGGCACTCGAGGAGAAGCCAAGGGTGTCATTTCCCCCCCAAGGGTGTACAAAACCCATGGTCCTCATAACAGCAGGCAACAACTGTTTTGTTATACTATTATAATAGATTAAACCGGAACGGTCTTATGTGTACTATATATGCATATTTATTGCAAGTTAAATTAAAACACTTTGACAAATTGAAACACTTAAACAGCAAATTAGATGTTAAATTATTAGAAAAATTTTGATTGTGACGTCCTTTGTGGACTTTTTGGGGGGGAATCTGGAATTTATAACCAATTGATTTACTACAAAAACCTGGTATTCATAAAGAACTGATTTGATTTATATTCTTGTCGATATTCTGGTCACTGTGCTACTCAACATTTCTCTGACCAAAGAGCACTCAATGTTCGTTCTTTAAGTAACTTCCCAAAGCTCTTTTGTTCTGCGTGCGTACACGTGTCCGTGCACGCACCATCTGTAGAATGAGATGTCTCCGCTGAGTGTGACATGCGGATATCGCCCTGTCATGTTATCGCTCTGGCAATCTGGGTCAATAAACGGACAGTATCCAAGACAGAGGTGTGACAATAAGACTTGAAACGATTGTTACCGTGTACAATACTCTACATGGTACAGTAAAGAACAAAAAATGGATGTCTTTGATTTTGTTTTCTCACCGGGCAAGCTCATAATAGCACATTTTGTTGCTATTATGAGCTTACCCGGTGAGAAAACAAATCAAAGACATTCGTAGGCCCCAAATGCAATAAATTAATAGATGGCCGGTACTCGGTTGATGCCTTATTAATGCGCAGACAGATTTGACATTGACTCTATTAAATTATAAATTCGGTGACAGGGCGTGGACGACAAAAGCCAGTGAACTGTCACGAGCTTATCGAACTTATTAAATGTATTTAAGATATTTTAGCATTAAAAGAGGGATCATTGGTACTAACTGAATAAAACCAATGATGATAAAAGCTGCTTGGTAACTACCGGTGATGTCGTAAATTAGACCTGAAAATGAAAACAGAAAAAAAATAGAAATGATGAACTAGAGGGGCAATGCGTAAGTTCGTCCTGTTCTGATATGGCATGCTTATCCAAATGACAAGTCCCTGAAACGACAATTTTGAGGTCATTCGGTTCTATCACTATACGGACAATTCACAAAAGTGCGCCTCCAAGAGTTTGCCACGCGTTGACCAATCACCGTGCGTGAAAATTGTCGGCCCTCTCCAAACGCGCATTGGGGCGACAGATTTCGCGCACTGTGATTGGTCAACGCATTGCAAACTCTTGGTGGCGTACTTCTGTGAAACGCCCGTATTACAATTCAATTTTCCAGTAATTTTCATGATTAATTTGTCTGAACCAAGTAGGGATTTTTTATTTTCTATTATTTATATGGCGCAAGAAAATGCAGAACGGCAACTTGATGATATTTAATCTGATACGTTAAATCACGATTATTAATGGAAGTCACGGTGGAAATTTACGTGCATTGCGATCTATCAAGTGACACAATAGTGTCTGTTATAATGGTCGATAATTAATACATAATTATGTAAGACGTATGGTGCTGAGAAATAAAACGTTATAGAGTACGGATGTCATCTCCACTGACTCAAAATGTTCACAGGAAATGGCATCACATTGTGCAATTAAAAATGGTGTCACTAGATTAGTTATCTTACCAGGAAGAAATCCAATGATTATCCTAAGTGTAGCAGTTTTAATACCAAACCAGCCATAAGCGCCGGCCAGTAGATTCACACCAAGAAGCTCTTTGGTACAAACGTCCAACATGCAAGTCAGCGCAGCGTCGAAGAACAGAATCAATATGGATGAGACCATCAGTGTCCAGTATGACGCTAACCAGGCAGATGCAAAGTACGATGCTGAACAGATGTTAACCGATATAACTACGGATATCCAAGGAGAAATTATTCCCCGATCTATGAGAAACCCTTGAATAACTCTTGCTGCCAGACTGAAAATACCAGCAATTGCAACAATAGTTGCCGCTTCCCCGATGGAAATCCCTTTCGATTGAGCTTGCGATACAAAATATATAATCCACATATCATAACATATGAGTGTACTGCATACCATGGCTGCCATTGACCAGTAACGGAAATCACAAAGCAATGACACCTGTAAAATTTTGAAAACGTTCTTCCAAAATGTTCCACATGACCATTTCTGATTCTCTGTATGTGTTGCTAACAATCCGTTTTCTGGAAGCTGTTGATAGTTCGCTATTTCAGGTATTTCAGCTCTCAATATAAGAGCGCCACATACGGCGAGGTGCATGGAAATTCCTCCTATCAATAGCATGGTTCCCCTCCATCCGTAGCTACTAAGAAAAAGTTGGATGAGAGGCGGAAAAACAATCATTCCTATCGAGCCTCCAGTGTATGAAATTCCTGTTGCCGTTGCGAGGTTTTTACCGAAACAGCGGCCGACTGTATCTTTTACAACAACAGCTGAAAGTCCTGATGATATACCTAAATAAATCATAAAATACGTTGATTGTAAATTCATTTGTTCCAATAGTTTGCTGTCAAGTACTGTACAAAATAATCTAGAAACTGGAATATAAACTCCCTTGGTTTTAGACTGACAACATTGTTCTCCCAACTGACATATGTCAAGTTTACTTTCATGCTGAACAGGGCACTAACCCTATTAACGTATGGTCCCAGATCACACCCGGGCATGCCGAATATTAGATGTCTGAATCTTTGTCAAAATACCAACAGTTCACAGTGGATGATGACACTGTACTGGAAAAACAAAGTTTTAATTCGTGCACCTGTTTAAACGCATAGTCTTAAAATCATAGTTTTTCACGTTCAAAAAGTTATTGTATTATTTTTTTTCAATTGTTGAGTTTTCACTTACAGATATTTTTCTTTTGACCGTTCTGAAGACAACCTTTATATGTCAGATGATGTTTCTGATGCCAGATTGGGCCCAGCATTGTGTTTTAAGGTTATACGAGCGTGCATGCTATACCAATTTCCTCTTGAAAACAGAAGAATGTTGCTACCAGACTAATCTCCTTCAGTGTCATAAAGTAACTTGTGGAAAGGTGCTTCATTATTAAAGTGTTCAATTTTCACGAAACACAAAGTGTTTGTGTTTCATAAACACAAGCACTTCTGCTTTCTTACCAGCAAACAGTATCAACGTTATAGCTAGCTGCGTTGCAGTCGTCACAAAAGAAGCAGCTATCAATGCAAGGCCAAACACTCCACCACAAGCCATAATGATGACACCGGTGCCGAATTGCTTACTCAAAAACCCCGCCAAAGGACCTGTGAAACAAAACAAAACCCCAAACCTAAAAACAAATAATTTTGCACCAATCAGCTAATCCCTGAACCAAAATGCCTCTAAGTGACAATTCATGTAATATTCCTTGGTACCAACCACTTCCATACCAAGTTTACTTACTTGTAACTTACTCATCTTTGTATTTAGTCCGCGGACAAACATTAGTCTGACAGTGATCAGTTAGGAACGTATGTGGCAAAAATGCTGAAAATGTTTCTGGAGACATTGCATTGTTATCACATAATTGCGTCTTCATTTCAAGATCTGACAAAAATTTTACCTGAGTGTTTTCTAATCATTTATTGATGATTAAAACAGTGCTTTCTTTGCTTGAATTAAAAAAAATCTTTGGACGTTGGTCTACATACCCGAGACTCCTCCGACAGCATCTACCAGAGAAATAATCCAGCCAATTATCCAGGTTTCAGTAGCAAACTGATCACGCAGTATCGGCAACATCATTCCGATACCTTTAACTAGTCCTACCCGAATGAATGTCCTCGTCCACATCGCCAATACGGCAAGATTTCCAACCCAGCCCCCATCACAACGATCATGCTTTGTTTCGCTCATTTCAATTTTCCTCTTAGCTTTCGATCAGAGAGCACTTTAAGTTGCCAACCATACAGCCTCGCTACCAGGTACATGTACTAGAATGCATCTGTCACTATGACATGACAACGACGCTGTCGTAAAAATTGGTACACATTTATAGGCGAATCAAGCAACGTTATTACTGGCGGCAGAAAGAACTGTGATAAAAATGATTTGGATTTTGGTTATTTTTAGCTGCTTCGGCTGCACTGCTGAAGCAGCAATTGTTTTTGTTCTAGTTCGCGATGGTGAAGTATAGGTCACTTTTCAAGAGACAGAAATGGAACCCCTCAAAATGGCTTTCTATTTCTGCAGCTCAACAATAAACAGACAGTCACAGACGGTCGGCAGCGGTCTTTTATGAAAACAGTGGGATTAAGAGGGCGAACAATTCGTGGTTGCGCAGTACCCAGTTATACAGGTCAATGCACCTGGTGGGAGGATAGGGGTAAGGGTGATTTTTACAAAGTCAAAACGCGACCCGCGTCAGAACACCATATTTTTGGGTGTAAAGAACTTCTCCAAAGTTCTCAAGTTGCTGTTAAAAGGATTAAGAGAAAAATGCTTTAGATCATGAAATCTGATTTTAAAAAATGAAACATCCCACGGAATAGTGATGTTATAATTAAGAAAAAATCCAATGTTTAACAATAACTGGTTTGTCGGTGTTTTTTGTTTCAGTAATCCTTCTGCCACATCACTTTGGCAATGAGTGATTGCCCTCAAACTTGGCACATACTTAGACCACCACCCAAGGATGGTCCTAGAAGATACTCGTCGTGATGACATCATCACTTGTCACGTGACAAATCCACAAAGTTGAATGATTTTCGGGCTTGTATCTCTGGAACCATTTATACCAGTGGGTTGAAATTTTGCACAGAAACAAATCCAAAATGTGTTATATGTGAAAATTTGAGTTACGTCCTGATGAACTCACCATCTGATTTTTGGATGATTTTTAATTTTTTGTCATTTTGACATTCTTTTTAACATATCTCCTGAACAAACCTTTTTTTCAAAACTTTTTTTTGCTAGACCTTCAGCAGGTCTGTTAGCTGTCCAGTTGTTGGAAAATCTTGTGACGTCATGATGACGTCGCCATAATGTACGATTTCTAATACTACATATTAACCAACGTCTGATCGTTATGAAATTCACTCAGTGCGTTAAGTCAATCCCTAATATCATTTCTGAAGTGACGTCATCATGACCTCATTCATTGATTTTTTATTAGTTTTTCACGATTTATGTATATGAATTTGCATGTATACTTCTATTGACTTCCTTTCGTAATTTCTGGAATTTAATCAAGTCAATTACTTTCGAATTCCGCAGAAAAATGTAAATTTCAATTCACCAGTTTCATATATGTGCAGATTAGCACGATTTGTATTTAATAGCTAAGTATGAAGTAATAGCGCTATTTACAATTACGGCTGTCTGATATGATTTTGTGTACACGGTAACCTTTGCCCTCAGTTTGGTGCACACTACAAATGTATGTGCGGCCGGTACCAGGGCACAGGTGAGCTGAGGAAAAATGCCGTGTCGCGCAGTTCGTGCTCGTTCCTGCATCTGCAGTACGAGCATCGGACTCGGGCACATGTTGAAGGTTTCACACTTTGATTCAGGGAAGCCAGCATAGTCACATTTTTTAAAATTAATATCATTTTAAAAATTCATGCACAGAAACCTTGACCTCAGTAAAAGTCAACATGACTTTATTTAAACATATGTGTACTATTGTGTACAACAGCAACATGTTATGGTGCGTGTCCTCAAGTAACCGTAATGCTAATAACTGCTAAAAAGACATGTATGCTCTATTTAAAATCTGCTTGTGAATTTAATCCTGTTTTGATTATAATCAGTGTAGTCCATGTTATGTTATGCTCATAATTAATGAATTGCCGCCTGTTTTACCTGGAAGCTACATCAAGTGCAATTAGCACTCAGCCAAGTTTTTTAAGTTTAAAAATGTTAAAAAAAAACCGGGGCACTCCTAATTCAATGCTTACAGGCGTGTTTGTCTGATGTAAGCTTTTGAGCTTGTTTTACTTTAATATTGATTGGTTTTGTCAAAACTTTGAATTTTTTTACGAAAATAAACTAAAGGGTTTAAGAACCTACCCATATTCTAAGTTTGTGATTGTGTGAGTTTTCAGAGTACACTGTACCTCAGTCTCTTCGTCGGAGAGAAATTAGATGTGGTGGGGTGATGCAAAAATAAGTTTCACTTGAATCGCAACGTGGCCTTTAGTGTGGATCAGTGTCAGATGGGTGACAGGAGGATTTTGTGTCCAAAATGCCCCATGGCTCTGCAACATCTGAATTACTTAAAATAGGTGTGTTTCAGCCACTTTGGCTCTCTTATAGAGAAACATTGTTAGGGCATAAATTGTAGGCCTACATGGGACTAATTACTAGATATCCCACGACATACATGTACGCTTGCCAACAAAGGAGATGTGACTTACCCTGCCGATAACTTTCTACGCACAATGCCTTGTCCTATTCTTAGCATTAACTTCCTCGGCCCATTTGTAATCCAATTGAAATGACTGAGCTGAAGATCAAAATTTGAACCTCTTGACCCTCTTGATCAGCCTGGCACTTACGTGCATGTCCAGATCTTATCGTAAGGGCGCTATAAGTGGTTTGTAGAGAGTACTGTTCTGATCTGAACAAATCTTTTCTTTCAAATTTCTCACCGAACAATTTATTTAAGATCACATGACGTGCCTGAATAGTTGAATTTTTACAGCCCAACTTTTCAATATCAAGTCCAACGGAGCTAACAACTGTGTAAATCGTAGAGCTATAGCTCTATGGTATGAGTGAAAATAGGGCTGTTACGTTTGAAATAAATGATGACATCATGATCATGTCACCACCTAATTTGATTTTCACTCCCTTTTACATTCTTTACAATGTAACTCTTCAGAAAAAAAGTCGTTTTTCAAGGCCCTCAAAAAATGACAATTGAATTGATGTGATGATGACATCATCAATTGATAAGTCACGTGATATCATTTGGTGCATTGCACCCTTTAACACCCTTTATCTCAGGAAATACATGTCAGATTGGGTTGACACTTCGCGCATACCGTTGACAGAAACGGAAGTGTTACAGTCCAAAATTGGTATCGTGGATAATAACGTCTTCGGGTGATAGGCCACGTGACATTAAATGTATGTCCTTCAAAGAACTGTATCTTCTTTACTTTACACGAACGATTGTGTTCCAACTTTGCAGATAGCTAGAAAGGAAAGGGATATACGCAAACATTTACATCATGTGATGACGTCATCAGTTGACAAGTCACGTGACATTACAGGTGCACCTTTAAAGCAACATATGCTCCAGAGTACACGCCCTAGGCTATACTGAAATTGAATTTTCCAAATGTAGCTAGAAAGGGACGTGCAAGTACACGTACATGTATTATACACCATATTTAACATGAAGTATTGTTGACGTCATTAAGTATAAAGTCACCTGACAAAGGTCAAGATGACACAGATTTTACAGTTTTAAACGATTTTTCTTCTCGGAATTAAACATACCTGTATAATTTTCTTTTTGCAATTTATTACCATCCATAAATTGTATACATTTATGCAACATCTGGCTTCTCATCTACCTACAAACTTTTTGCCCTCATCAAGCAGGGTGTTTTGTGCTTCATAACCTGAAGAAATGGGGCAAGAATTTCAAATTATCGGCCTTATACCTGGAAACATGGCCGATAGATAGAAAGCGATTCTCTCTTGCTCAAACCGGGTTATACCTTTGAGTTTGAAAACAGACCAAATCAAGCCGAGGCAGAGGCGATATGATGTACATGTACATCAGAGACTCATTATCTTGTGTTTTACGCCCCGATCTGGCAATACCTGCACAGTCGTATGAATCCTTATTTATTGAGGTTAAAGCAAATACCAGAAATATTATTATTGGTGTGGTCTACACAGAGCCCCGGTCAATGTCTTAAGACCTTCATTGACGATTTTGAACAAGTTCTGGCTAAAATTGGATCAGAGTCAATAAGGTAGTGTCTGATAAATTTGTTTAATAATGATACTCGCACTGGTACTGATGATGCACTAAACCTCTTTCATACATATCTTTTCCCACTGTTGATTAACCCTCCGGAATAACTGAAATTCTGCAACGCTGATTGGCAATATCTTTACGAATAACACTGAATCAGTCTCTCCCTGTACCGTATTGTAAGACTTCAGTGACAACCTCCCGGTCATTCCTGTCGGGACGCCGCTTTAACTAAACAAAGATCTAGTTCTTTATGGAAGAGAAACGCATCAGCCCGAAATATTGCTGCTTTCAAAGATAAATTATAACAAGTTGACTGGGATTCTGTAATTACAAGTGAGGGAGTTAACATGCAATTCTCACAGCTCATATCTAAGTAACGTCATCTTATTGATAAATGCATGCCTTAAATTTAAAAAAAAGGAAATAATAAAACTACCTCAAAATCCTTGGTTTACGAAAAGCCTGTTAAAATCTGTAAGAGAGAAAAATACATTGTATAAAATGTATCATAATGATCCTTCAGATATAAATAAATTCAAATATAACAGATAAAAAAGTAAATTAACTTCTGTAATTTGAGCATCAAAGAAAATATTCTATTCCACGTCGTTCGAGCAAGAGAAAACCACCATTAAAATACCTGGACTATCAATGAACTTCTAAACAAAAAGCCTAGAAATACCAAGCCCTATCAAACTATCAAGATTACCAATTGTGACATCAATGACTCTAAATTGATCGCTGAACATTTTAATCAATATTTTGTAAATGTTGGTAAAGATTTAGCTTCCAACGCACGTTTCTGACC